GGCTGAGTGAACACAGAAAAATGTCACTTTTAGGGAGGAACACTTTAATCATGAGCTAAGTATTGTCCCTGAACAGCGAAGGAGGAACGTTCAGATGCCAACTCTCCTGGTTTGGGGGAAGGTCAGAGGGGAAGTCCTGCACCTGCACTGCACCCAGGGGGCTCAGGGTGATTCTGAGTGCAACTGCCCATTCATGCCAAGCTTGAGGACTCTGCTGTGCCCAGCAAGGGGATGGCCAGCGTGTCTAGACAGGGCAGGATCCGTGGATTACATGGATTACACGGCTGGAGCACACATATGCAGGCACTTGTGAGGAACAAAAGCACAGAGCTATTTACTACCTCACACAGATGGGTAAGTCCACTCTGGAGATCTCTGCAGACTTGTGAAATCAGGATGACGTGTCTGGAATTCTTCCTCTCCTCTCCAGCGCTGAAGTAACTCAGGCAAATGCAAGTTGGCAGCTCCTTTAAAGACTCCAATTTACCCATTTTACATAATAACTTTCAGCTGCATTAAACACAAACACACAAAAAAACCCAGGTAGCACCAACAGTGAAATCTAAATTTGGATTACTCACAGAGAAAACACACAAAGTCTGAGTGATTTTGCAATTAAATCAGAAGCAAACTGAACTAATTTTTGCACTAAGCTGGATTGTCTCCATTGATGAGACACATCAGTCTGCACCCAGAGGGAAATTGTAGGAGCAAGGTTCTGCACTTCCTGAGGGAACTGAGGAATGGCAAATACATCCACACACCTCTAGACCTACTGGCTCCTCCCAAATCCAGAAAAATCCACTCTCTTGGGGCATTATAAACCCCTTCTCAGAACAGCCCAGCCAAAAGCAAAGTGCAGATTTCTGTATTAAAGATCCTCTTATTGCAGAGCTCTTGCTGAGTGTTTGTCCCATCCCTGAGTGTGTGGCTGTCCCACTCCTTGGATATTCATTTATTTGTTGCTGGGCATAAGAAAACCTGAAATCATAACTCTCAGATTAGATTCATTTGGTATTTCAATTCCCAATCTAAATTTTAATTAACTCTTTTACTTCAGTGTTGCATTTTATCATGATGAATTACTTGGAGGAATACACAAAACAGAAGCTCTATAGAGTAACTGAATGTAAAAATATTTACTTAGAAACTTTCATTTCTTTTTCTCCAAACTGTTAAAAAAGAATGTACAGACACAGTAACAGAAATATGAGGTGACAGAAGAGAATGGGCCAGATCCTTGTGAATCCATTTTACCATGCACATAAAACTAAACTGGCCTCAGCTTGATGTAACTGATCTATCTCAAAAATGAATGTTAGACATGAAATGGCAAAAAGGCTGCTGAGCCAAATTTATCTTATGGGTTTGGTTTTTTTCCTATTATTCCCTTTCTATATTTTCAAAATACTCCTTAATGCTTTTTCCTTTCAGAAGGAAATGTAAGTCTCTCAAAATAATATTTACAAGCTCAGCTGCAACATCCTCCATGGTAATTCAGTCTGGCTGTTTGTTACTCTTTGTGAGGAATAGTTCTGCTTGAGTTCTCCAAAGAGAAGAAAACAACTCTGTTTTCCTGATATACTTCAGATTCAAATTATTGAAGTGCAGGATGGAGAAATGAATTAGATAAAGGCATGGGAAATGTGTAATTCATACCTGGCTGCTGTGATGAGCTCGCTGGTAACTGATAAAGCTGTGAATGTCAAAAGAACTTTAATGAGAAATGATATTGACCTAAGTGCCAGTGTTATCAGCACTTCTGCATTTAAAATAAATTAAATTTAAAAATATTTAACTTGCACTTCAGCAGTGTCCACTGACAAATATTTAGTTTAATATCTACCTCACAGTTCCATTAAAACACCTCTAGACGAGAATATCAGAAGCAACTTCCATTTTAGTTTCCTACAGTCCTATAACTTTTTATGCTCTTATAATTAAAAACAACTTCAACATCTTTCCTCTGTGTAACTAATTCAAAGACAGAAGTAACACAAATTTTTTGCTACCTCCTCTCTGAATTGACAACATTGTTTCTGTGCAGCCTTTCAGAAAGTTTCCAGCTGCAAACAACAGTGTCCAGAGCAGAGGGGGTGTTATTCCTGGTTATTGTTGGAAAAAACTCAAACTATAAAGGAACTCTCATGATTAGGATCAACTATCAATAATCATCTATTTTTAAGTGCAGCATCCTATAAATCCTCCTAATTAGTAAACTGGCTGTCTTCTTTTTAGCAAACAATCCCCAGCCTCCCTCCTTATTTATTTCCCTGAATTCAATTATGTTTGCACCTGCTAGCCCAGCCACCTAAATGACAGGTAGTGGATGGAAGGGAGAAGCTGGGCCATAAACAATAATTTCATTATAGTTCAATTTCAAGTATTTGCCTGCACCTATTTTCTCTGCTTTATGAAGAATGTTGATGCTGTTTGCTGCTCTGTGGCTCTGTTCTCCTGTCAGGAGATGCAGCAGCACCAGCAAGAATTTCACAGTGCTCCCAATCTATCCTTCACTGCTGGCTCCAAAGGAATCAAAGCTGAGATTTTCCTGCAGGGGAAGGACCATTAGGATAAAGAGGGAAGGAGTGATGTCCAAGTCTGGGCTGAAAAACTGATAAAAGTTAAAAAAAAATATAGTTGGTTGGACTAAAAGGGACTCTTTGTAAAATAAAGGTTAGGAAATATTTCTTTAGAATACAAAAACAACAGAACTACTTTTGTCATGAAAAGCTATGGAGGAGGAGGTAATCCTGATGGTATTTACCTACCACGAGACTTTAAAATCCATCTACTACCTAAATCAGGTCAGTTATTTTTCCAAAAATCTGCCTGAATTAAATTCAGTCTCTGGATGAAAAATCTAAGCCATTCACTACCTCGAAGGATTAAACAAGATAGAGATGGACCTCAAACTGTGGATGTTGAAACTCAACAACATCCAAACCATCACAGCTCAGGTGTTCAAAGAAACCCACATTTCCTCCCATCACCTGAAACACAACATACCTTCAAAATATTCTCTGAAGCTGTTCCACCTTGAATGTGAAGTCAATATCGGGCAGAAATATCAATTTACCATATTTATCTCACAATGAATGGTGATTTGGGTGAGTGTGTAAAATTGGATTGTGTATAAATTAAAACAGTAACCAAAGGGGAAGCAAACAGGCAGCTAAAGCCCTGAGAGAGGAGCCTTGGAGAGAGGAACTGCACAGCATTTTTATGTAACACGTGGGGAAACTGCAGCATGGGAGTTTTGGATGTTAATTCTGCAGCTGTACTAAATCCAGTGTGTCAGACTCTGTCTGCAAGCAAGGCAGATTGAAGGAAGCACATTTTTACTGCAGCATTGGAGGCTGAAAAATGGTTAACTTGGTTAAGTTCACCAGGAGGAAGTTTATACAGGAGTCTAAGATGAATTCCAACATTCCTTCAGCAGCGTTTCACTTCAGAAGTAGCTCTTAGTTAAATAGTTAAGTACTTCTCTAAGTATTCTTTCATTAATTCTTTCTATTAATGAAGAAAAGCATGGCATGAGCTAGAGCTCTTCAATTAAGATAATCATTATCATAAACAGATGTTTTGTTTGACAGTTTGAAGGATATGGGTGCGCTGTGATTTAGTTCAGAGATTTTAGTTCATCTGAAGACTTCAATTAAACAACCTCACCCTCATCTCCAATTGTACCAATCCCAAAATCACCATTGTGAGGGCCAGAAGTGGAGACGTTTGGTTTTGTTTAGTGACAGAAATGTAAACAAGCTGCTGAGGACAGGGGTTAAGTGAAGCAGGCAGGAGCAGGGTACATGGCAGTGAGATAACACAGGGGGCTGAACAAGCACCCCGTTATCTCCTTGCAGCAGGCACAGGAGCTGGGCCTGGCCCTCACCCACAGGCTGCACACAAAGGTTCAAAGCCATGGATCAACTTCTAATAAACCTCAACCTGTGGAAATAACACCCAGCCAGCTGTGATAGAAATATGAAATGCAGAGGGGGAAAGTTCTCCCGTGGAAATGAACTTGTACGTTTGCAAATGTGGTCTTGTCAACTGAAAGGATCTAAAAATTCATCTCTGCATTTCCTCCTAAACCATACAAGCCTGTGTTATAGATAATATATACCTGGCCACTGTGCTTTGACTTAACTGAAAATATGGTTGTTAGAGATTGTTTCCCAAAACAAAAATAATTGTGGCAGTAAGGAGTACCTTAATGTCACTGAACCTTCTGAATTAGTGTGTGTGTCCTAAGTTTTACAGCCTAATTTTACAGACACAAGCAATTGTTTTTAAGTTTGGTAAGACATTTAGTCACTTGACCCTTTCAAGAAAAAAAAAATCCTTTTCATACTTGTAAGGTGTTATAGGCATAATCTGGATAATCTTATTACATGACAAACATGGTGTCACTCGTGGATAACACTTCCTAATAAACTAACACACCTCTATTAAAACAAAATCTTTTGTTAGAAAAGAAGTAGAAAAGCCCCCATACCCTTAAGAGAATTTTAAATATTGTCACCAAGCTAAAAACAGCAAGTAAATATTAACTCTGTGAAGTGCAAAACAAGTTTTATTGACCCGTGAGGTAAATATTGACTGAAATGAAGCAAATATTTATGTGCTGACGGTAAGGGGACGAATCCCCTTCACCACAGCAAACAAGATTTTGCCTACTACATTTCTGGGTTTGTATCTATTCCAAAAGGTCTGAAAGGAGATATTTCCTTTTCCAGACATCTGCTTTTTGAAAACAAAGCTGTCTTTCCTCAGTGACTAAATTGGATGTGCATCCAGAAGGCTGGAATATTGTACAACAAACAGGTTTGACAAATTGCTTTCAGACAGAAAACTCACTTAACTAAAACCTGACCAGACAACAACATCCAAGACCCCTCTCTAATCCCTAAAAAGTTAAATTCCACTTAATGAGTTATGCTAGAAGATTAATTCGGGTTTGGAACATAAAATATATTGCTGCATATCACACACATGGAGGGATTGCTAGGGCTGTCCTGTGCAGGGCCAAGAGTGGGACTTTGATGATCCCAGTGGGTCCCTTCCAACTCAGGATCTTCTGTGATTTAACAAGGAAAATACTGAATAATTAAGGATATAATTACTAGCAGGTACTACAAATGGAATATAAATTAACAAACTCATCTACTCCTTCCTGGTAAATCCACTCATGTTTACACACATGAGAATTCACTGTTCAATTCAACGATTCACATGGGGATTCACACGTTCAGATGAGCAAATTAGAGGGGGAAAAACCCCTAATTCTGAGAAACTTCAAAGATCCTATTGAAAATTCTGGCACCTTTAAGGACACCCATTAGAGAATACCAACGTCATGATCATTACATCTTCTGACCTAAATACCTCGGTAATGGTCTAACAGCAGCAATTAACACACACCTCCCGAAATTCTTGAACAGCTGAATAATTTATGAGTCACTGGATTTAACAGATCCTCCAGTGTCACTACAAGAAAAGCCCAGTTCAGGAAACAGCTTCTCCACTTGGTTCTGATGACCACGGGAATCGCTCCTTCCTGCAGATAAAGACAGAGGCTGAGCACCCTCCTGTGCAGGGAGCAAAAACTACAGCTGCCCTTTGTGGCTCCGCTGGCTGATTGTCATTCAAGGCTTTATCTTTGCCTAAAAAAAAAAAAACCAAAAAAACAAACAAGACTTCGAGATGTAATTCAGCAGCTTTGGAACAATTACATGACAGCACTGCAGTGGAATTACTCTCAGTTTAGAATGACTTCACAGGAATGAACACAGAGGGCTCGTAAGATTTCTGGAAACCTCAGGGAACGGGGTGATGTCATTGCAATACAAAAATATCTGCTTCGAATTCCTTGCGAGTCTCCTTGACAAAGCTTAGAGGACCAGAGTTCAGCAGTGAAACTCAGCCACCACCTCAGGGATGATTAGAGAATGAATAGAGCCCAGAACTGGGCTCTGCTCTTCACTGTCTCAGATACAGGAGCACAGGAGCTGTTTACTTGTGCTCGAAATACAAACTGAACTCAGGGTTTATAGAGATGCAGGAGACAGTTTTTAAAAGATGGAGCACTCAAAGCTCAGGAAACATTCGAATTCTAAAGGTTATTTGAGCTTTTTGGCAGGACTTTCAAATCCTTCAAACGGTTTAAACTAAACCCTCTTAATTTTGCAGAAGTCTTCCATACTCAAGCAGCATTTTGGGTAAAATGAAGACAAACCAATAAAGCCTTTGAATATTCAGGACATTCTGCTATTCTACAGACTCTTACCCAAAAGCCCATTTTTTTTTTATCATATCATTAACTAAAATTGCTTTCCCTGTATCTGAGATCAGCTCCTTTAAATTCCACCACGGATGATGCTGCACACCTCGTTTTAAAGCACCAGCTCCTTCTGATGAAAAAAAAGGTGATACAAAAGGTGAAGATTGTAACCCCTTAACCTGCTGAGGTTTCTGCAGAGCTCCTTCAGGACACAAAATACATTCTTCTAATATTTCTGCCTATAAAACAAACTCTCAGCAACTTCTAGGACAGAGTAACTGTTGCTGCAGAGGTACATACCGAGCTGCCAGGGCACCCCAGGCTGAGTTCCACAAGGATCAGAGTTGGTTCCAATGTTTTCATGCACTGTACAACCCCAGGAAAAGCAGGTACACACTGGTGGAAAGTGCTGATTGCACTAATTAAGGAGTTACCACCTGCTCCTAGGGGGATGAGAAAGTCTAGGATACTTGTGAGTGTATAAACACCTGAAAATGTGCCTGGGCACTCTATGGAATTGATTGGCATCCTGGGAGTAGCAGCCAAATAAAGATTGGTAAATTTATCACCAGGTATTCCATGACCTAATGTGTCCAGTGCCCATGGGAAAAGACTTCTAATTTTCTATGAATAATCTCCCAAATCTCTCTTGTGTCAGGAGTTACAAAATCCAGAGGGTCATTAATGGCACTAGGAAAACATACCTGTTAAATAACAACATCTCTGAAGAGTTACACACTTTCTAATGAGCTGTGAATTGGAGATAAATCAGCAAGTGACCTGCATGAGCAAACACCATTGATTAATAAGATGCTACGAATTAATTTCTTATTTTCAGTGCATGTGGCAATGAGAAACAGTTTGAGAACAACGTGGATTTAAAGCTACATTTGTGCTTTAATGCATTTTATAATTACAAAAAAGAAACAGCTGAACAAATCTTTTATATTTATACCCTTCCAAGCGATGTACAGAAGGCATGCATAATTTCCAATCATAAAACACTATTTAAAAATAAAAGATTTATAATTGCTTTCCCTGATTTGAGAAGCAAATTAAGATTTTTTTCACATTGTCCTTCATAATCCAAACACGATTCGAGTGACTGACTGAGCAAAGAGTGGGAGAATGAACAATATGGCACAGCAGAAGCCAAACACAACAGGTTTGTGTTATCCTTGGAAGGATGGGGACAGGGCCATGAAATTCTTTGAGTGCCTCCTGCCAGGCATCTGAAATCTGCATTGGTGCTGCTACTGAGCAGTATTGGGCTAATTAGACAGAAAAATTACACAAATGAGAAAGATCTTCTAAGTTCAGAGGGCTTACAGGAATAGGAGGCCTGCGGGTATGTTTAATACTTAACTATATCTGTAATAACCAGCCCAAGTTTCTTCCAATGCATCAACCACAGCCTGAGCAAAACACAGAGGATAAGTGACCTGAACTTTCCAGTAAGGAAATTCTAGGCACAGTTTCCAAAAACATCATAAAAGTAGACCAAACTGCCTCCTCAAAACCTACCTCCAAGAGACACAGAGATGCAGCCAGTGTCTTCAGCTACTTCCTTCCTTCAAAATAAGAGAGGTTTGTTGTTAGATGGTGTCACTGAACACCAGGCCACTTAACTCTTCCAAACACTTAGTTTTTCACTTAGTGAGATCTACATCTAAAGGTCCATCCTTCCCCTCTCCAGAGCTTACTGACCCCACAGCATTGCTGCATGTAAACTTTGGAATTAAACCAGCATTTCTGTTCTAGCTCAAAACAACACAGCACTGATTTTCAAAGCTGCTCAGATATTAGTCCTGCTTTCCGTGTGAGCTGCATACCTAAACACTTTTTCTAGAAAAATATCTGAGCCAGGGAAAACAGATGCCATTTCTGGACGCAAACTAATTTATTCAAGAGCATATTTCAAAAGAAAACCTGTATCTATTTCATTCCAAGCCTCTCCCAAGAGCTACAGGAGCATTAACTAGGGCAGCGCTTTCCTCAGGTTTCCTGGGAGGCAAAGCCAATTTCCAGACAGCAGGACTCTCTTAATCGCCACCGACAAGTAATGATGCCGCGGCACACGTACATTTTTATATATATCCCTTCATTTCCTTCCTTATTATTGCCTTCCCAGATTAATTTTAATTGAGGCTTTCAATAAAAAGGAATAGGAACCTCCCCGCTCGTTTTGGCGGGGTTGAGGCTGAGGGGAGGCGCCCCCCCCCCCCAAATCCCCTCACGGGCCATGGCGGGGCGAAGGCCGCGACGTTGCCAGAGCAACGCCCAGCTCAGAGCCTTCCTCCTTTCTCACTCCTTCCTTCTTCTCACTCCTCTCTTTCCTCCTCCTCCTCCTCCTCCCCTCACGGCTCCTCCTCTTCCTCCCCCCGCCGCGCCCTCTCCCACCCCCTCGGCCCCGGCGATGGCGGCGGGCGGCGGGCGGGAGGCGCCGGGCGCCCCATGAGGTACCGGGGAAAGGGGCGGGAAAGCGGCCGCCCCCAGCGCCCCCTCACAGCGGCACGGCAGCCAGGGGGACACGGGGACGCGGCTCCGGCGGTGCTCAGGGTGCTCCTTCACCTTTCCCTTCTCATTGCGGGGGTCCCGGCCGTGCAAACCCACCCGAGGGGGTCCCGGGACAGACGTTCCTGAGGAGCTGCCGGAGGTTCAAACCCTGCCGGGGGTCCCGGAGCGAAGGGGGGAGCAGCGGCCCCGGGAGAGACGGGCAATGTTCTGAATGTTCCAAGGGGCCTTTCTCAAGAGCCTTATTTTAGCTAATATTTGAGGGGGGACAACAAAATCCGGGTGCGTGCGGGAGTCTGCTCTGAAATCCCATTTAATAACTCGGTGATTTGAAAGTTTGCTCGGCGCGGTGCCAGGGGTGGCTGCGATTCTGCAGCTCCGGATTTTTAAACACCGAGCTGTCAGTTCTTACAGAACGCGGCCCCAAAACACCAACTGCAGTGCAAATGAAGTGCCTTTTTTATTCCTTCCCGTAAAAACATCGCTCACTAACGCTGTTCACACACAAGTCAATTCCATCCCCACTCCATCCGTTTTATTGTTGTGCAAAAAAAACACAGGACGAGAATTTTGGTTGCTTTGAAGTATGATGTCATCTCTAGGCAACAAAAAAATAGTAGTAGTAGTAGTAGGAGCAGCACTTGTAAATATTAGTAAGTTCTCATATTCATGTGCTAAAGTGGTTCTACTCTTTAATGTTACCTTCTTTTTAAAGGCTAAAGAATTTGAGGTTTGTGTAAAAGCATCCAGACCTTTTTGCTGTGGAAAACCAATTTTGCTTTGTTTTTGTATCCTCAGTGAACCTATCTGTGAAAAAAAAAATTTCAAAGAGGAATCTCTGTTTGAACAATAGGATTATATTCAAATTCTCAGTGTTTCAATATTACTGCATAGTGACAAGTATTGTGTCAAATTCAGCTTCCAGGCATTCTCCAAAATCATTACTCTGATGTCACACCAGTCCAAAGAAATGGATTTAACCCTGTTTGATCCGAGTAAAGACTCACAGAGAAGTGAAAAACTGCCCAGAAGACAACCAAATGATGCCATAGGAAAGATAAATCAGACCTCATTTGGCTGCATTTTATTTTTCACTCTTTTAAATGCTTCTTAGAAAATGGTCTAACCTGGTTCTGCTCCCTTCCCCAGACAGGATAATCTCATTAATCTCATAATGGCCCTCAGTTTTGAGCATGCACTGGCTTTTTACTGGACGTGTCTGAACCAGTGCTCACCAATTAATGGATGCATGGAAATGTACTCCCTGCTTCCTTCCCATCAGCGTTTGCTCCTTTTCTGGCCCACTGCTGTTGCTATTTTGGTGAAATTATGCAGCACTCCCCCTGATCTCTCCTGTACAAGCCAGTGCTGGTCTCCTGTCCAGCAGCTTTTGCTGCTGATTCACACTTTTAGCTGTTCCTAAGACAGCCAGGTCACTGCAAACTGGGAAATCTGCACATGGAGGGAAGGAAATTATTTTAATGTGGGACATGGGAGGTTGTGCTGTGGAGATGAGGTGTGAACAAACTCAGGATCTTGGACGATATTGCCTTCGTGCACTCACTCAGTACAACGTATTGGGTTTTTATTTTGCTGAACTATTCATCTCTTTGTTGAACCGTACCTGTTTGTATCCCGCTCTAGGAGACACAAACCAGAAAAAACTCCAGGAGCAAAGCCCACCATGCAAGCCGAGTGCGCCCACCTGCACAGCACCCAGGGCGGCGGCGATGGCTCCTCCTCGCCCAGGCTGTCCGCACAGAGCTCCTGCCACCCCAGCACCGGCGACGTGCGCATCCAGCTGGGGTCCAGCGCGGGGGAATCCAGGGACAACGCGACCTCCCGGGCCTCCAGGCCGGGCTCCCAGAGCCGCTCCCACGGGCACGCCCATGGGGAGACAGGAGGGCTGGAGGACGGCGCTGCGGAGGCCGAGGAGCAGGGAGGCAGCTCCCTGTCCGAGCTGCGGTACCTCCTGCAGTGGCTGCACAGGAGCCTGCCCTACCTCCTGATCCTGTGTGTCAAACTCCTCATGCAGCACGTATCTGGTACGGTAAAACAAATTCAGCTCGGAGGGAACACACTCTCCTCCCCTCCCCCTGCCAAGAAATATTCTAATAACCATGCCTGAAATGTAATTCAATTTATTTTTAGCTTTATTTTTATTTGCTTTATTCATCAGAAAGAGAGATTTACTAAACTACATTTCAGTGGCTTCTGTTTCCTTTGCTGGCATATGTACAATGTGCTTAATTATCCTGGCTTGAGAGTCTGAGCTATTAATTCTAATTACAAAGACATATTAGAAGTGGCTGCTTTTTAACCCAGTTCAGTAGTATTTTTTTTTTTCCTTTTCATGTTTATAACTGATCCTATTTTCCTAATAGGCATTTCTCTTGGAATTGGGCTGCTAACAACTTATGCGTATGCAAACAAAAGCATAGTAAATCAGGTTTTTCTCAGAGTAAGTATCACCCTATGCAACAAAATTCTTTAAGTTAAGCAAGACTTAAACAAGTTAATCCGTTTTTGAAAAATGTGAATGGAGATGGTGTTTTATTTACTTAATAATATTAGGTATCGAGATGGAAGTAGAGTCTTAATGCTTTTGTACAGGGGAACTTCTCAGATAACAAGGTTTGCAAAATTCCCCTCTGACTTTGACTATTGAAATCACTTTTTTTTAAGTTAGGATTAACTTCTTAACTATATTTGTGGGATGAAATAGCAGTTGACAGTTTCAATTTTGAGCTCTGTGTTCACTCCCAAAGGGAAACCTGTTGTTTCTTCAGAGTGGGCTGGGTTTTGGTTGTCTTTAGAAAAAAACATGGTACACCTAGAAATCGGTAGGTTGAAAATACTAAAATTACTGCTTTACCTTTCCATTGAGTTCTCCTATTTTATGGGGTCTAAACCCCCTAAGATAAAGTCCTCTGGTAGTAACTGCTGGGCTGCAACAGATTTGGTGTTTGGGATGTGTGTCAGCAGTGATTCTGAGGCAAGGACTGCAATGTGTCTTTACACTCCCCTTGCAGGAACGGTGCTCCAGGTTGCAGTGCACTTGGTTACTGCTCTACCTAAGTGGATCATCTCTCCTCTTGTATTACACCTTCCACTCTCAGTCCCTGTATCACAGGTAAGTAGAGAAGCAGCTCTACCCCACCATAAAGTACTCAGACATGAACTGGGGACACTTTATCTGCTCTTTTTCTTTAATTGTGGCATTGTTTTCTCTTTCACTTTAATCTCCATTCCTCCCCTTCTGCCAAATTTAACAGGTGGTGTCCTTAAAAACAGTATGTTGGAATTTCCTAGACTCCATACTTGATTTAATGGCACTACTGTACCACAGAGAACATTCCTGGCTTTGATTCCCAGCTCTGACCCTTGGGAATACCAACCGTGGCATCCTGGGGCTCTGTGCAGTTTATGACTCCAATTGATTTTTCCCCCTTGACCATTCTGTAGCTGCAGCCTTGGCTGGAAATCAAAGGCTAAATGCCAAACTGAAACAGCAAACTGAGCACTGGAGGATGGGGGCTGTGATGAAGATACAGCACAGAAGGTTCCAAGATGGAAAAGTTGTCAGAGATCCTCAGTGATCCATTTACAAGGAGCAGTTCATTTTCTTAGCAAATGTTTTCCCTTGGTGTAAACAAGGTTTCCTTTTTTAATTAAACCTGCTGTGATAATCTCAGGTTACAGTTTCCTCTAAATAGGGTGCTCCAGTAACTTCTGATACTTCTTTTTGTAGCTTAATCTTCTTAAGCCCCACTGTGGATTTTATGAACTTTTGGGAGGTGCTTTGGATTGTTGGAGTCACAGACTTTATTCTGAAATTCCTCTTCATGGGCTTGAAGTGCTTTATTCTCCTGGTGCCTTCTTTTATCATGTCCTTTAAATCCAAGGTAAGGAAACAAGCTGTAGTTTTGATCCTTGTGAAGATAGTCCTATGGTAAAAATAACTAATTATTAAATTCTACCCAGAGAAAAATCTTTAATTAAATGTCTGTATATAATCCACCACTGCACCATGGGCAAAAAAACCCTGTGGATTTCATGTTCTTCTCTCCTTGGTGCTAAAAAAGGTTTTCAGTCTGATCAGAAACAATTGCTTGTATTATATCATTGGATAAATGGGTTTATTTCTGTCTCCAAGCTGGGGGTTGAAGCAAACCTTTTATTTTCTGCTCTGTAGGAATGTGTACACGGGCAGTTGGCCTGCAGCAGCTGGAGCACAGCAAATTTTGCACATGCTC